CAGCACCACACCTGGCTCTCTTTACTACTTTTCAGCCTTGGATACAACTTCTTTGTCCCTCATTTGTCCTATCTATAAAACCGCTACCTTCCCTATCCATTACACACGACTGCTGAAAACAAAAAGATAACATTTAAGAAACTGATTTGAAAATTATGAAATACATTTATGAGAGTTGTAAATTTGGAGGGACTTTTGATTATAGTGCAAATAGTATTATTTTTGTAATAAATGGAGATAACAGTACCCACTTTGTACGCATGTTGTGACAGTTAAATTAGTATATGTAAACAACTTTTAAGTCCTGTGACAGACACAATGGACCAATAAATATTAGCTGTTATTGTTGTAGGTGCCCAGCATTAGGATATATGTAGCTAAAGCAAGTGTAAGGAGTCAGACAAATCAATCATTCACATTTTCAGAGAAATAATTTATTTTTCTTACAAGAGTCAGTCATTTATTATAACACCTGTGACAAGTCACATCTTTCTTGCAACGGCTTAACATTTTCAACGAATATTAAGTATCTCCCTAAATAGTTTTAACTACACTCACTATTTGATTGATTTCATATAGTATCAAGACTAAATCTGAGCATCTAGGCTGCATCTCACCTGAGTTGAAGACTCATATATTGGAATACACAGACATGTTTTCATTCATGTCTTGGGTAGGTATCATAACCTAACTGACAGCAGATTCTCCTTTGGCATTGCCTCAGATACTTCTATTAACCCAGTTGTTTAAGTCATAAACCTTGGGTTTAACTCATTTTTGTACACATCTCATTATGAGATCTTTTTGGTTTTCTACCTTAGGAACTCAGTCACAATCCTTCCAATTTTCATCATTCTGGCCTAAAATTATGGCCTATCTTGTTATTACAAAAGCCCAATTCCTGGTCTCCCCACATTCCGTTTACTGATATCTCCAAATAGTCTATTTTCCAGCAGGAATGAGTTAAGTATAACATCAGAAGCTGGTTGTGGTGGCACACACCTTTAATCCCAGCACTTGTGAGGCAGAGGCAGGCAGATCTCTGTGAGACTGAAGCCAACTTGGTCCACATAGTAAGTTCCAGGTCAGCTGAGGCTACAGGGCAACCCTGTCTCAAAAAGACCAAAAAAGTATAATATCAGGGGCTGGAGAGATGGCTCAGCAGTTAGGACCACTGGCTGCTCTTGCAGAGGACTGGGGTTTGGTTCCCAGAAACCACATGGTGGCTGACAACCTGTCCATAATTCTAGTTCTAGGGGATCACATGCCCTGTTCTGACCTCTATGCACAAGGGTGCACTTACATACATGCAGGCAACTCATTCATACACAAAATAAAAATAGTATTTTTAAAGTATAACATCAAAAAAACTCTCTAGTGACTTTCCCACTTTAATGGAAATACACTTGAAAATCCTCACAATGACCCAAAGAGCTCCATAATCTCTCACTTCACTTTTTTAAAAATTTTATTATTTTTGTGTGTGCACTCATGTCATGGCACATGTGTGGGGGTCAGGGGACCCTCATCTTTTGAAAGGGCCCCAGGGAAAAAGAGATTTATAAAGGTTCATGGGAGCAGTTAGATGAAAACACTGAAATTGCTTTAGGTGTGACCTAAATCCTGGAATCTAGAGTGTATTTTGCTTTGTTTTCTTCTTGTTGACTGCTCTATATAGTTTATGTGGAAGGTTTTTATTCCATGCAGCAAAGTCCTGAGGAAAACACTGAGTGAGATAGATTAGCAAGGTTTGCCTTTATTATTTCCAAAGAAGCCAATCAAGAGGTAGTATAATAAGCCAAGTAGCACACTTGAAGGCACCTCACACTACTCATCCTAAGTAGGTTATTAAGTGCAGGAAGGCCATATAATCTCAAAGATAAGAAGCTGGGTAGTTAGACTACCGCAGTTCAAATCTCAGCTTCTCTAATATCCTAACTATGCGTAATCTTCTTACATTTCTGGACAGTTTTCTGACTTGTAAAATGGGAATAGTGATAGAACTTACCTTATATGGTTCTTAAGTGAGAAAATCTTTATAATGCACTTAAAACTTCAGACTTAAGTACTCAACTAAAGGTAACACTGTTTTCATGTGACAATGGTTCATACTGTATAGTCAGTAAAAGTAAGCTGACAGAAAGTGGAAAAGGCCAGGTCGCTATGCAAATCAGTACCCACATTCTCCTTATGCTAATGACTGCTGTTTTCATTTGCAACATACTGCCTATGAAATAGAAACTTCCCAGTCATTGTTTTTATCTAGCAGTGCTCCTTGATCATTTTGAGTCAGTAGTCTAAAACGTGATTTTTTTCTTAGTAAAATACCTTCAACTTATTTGGCGAACACATTTTTTCACACTTGCTGCCACTCACATCTACGTTTCCACCTTTCTTCTAAAGCAATGGTTTCCTAAATGCAGTCCATGGACGAGGAGGTTCAGCTTCAGCATCATTTAGAAACTTGCCAGAAATGTAGCTCCACAGGGCATGTGGTGGTTTGAATGAGATATGTCCCCCATAAGCTCAGGTATTTAAACACTAAGACCCCAGTTATTGGTGCTGTTTGGGAAGGTTATAGAGGGATAGCCTTGCTGGAGGAGTCCTTCACTAGGGTGCGGTTTGAGGGTTTATAGTCTCATCCCACTTCCAGTTTACTCTCTACTTTCTGTGCACGGATGGAGATGTGATCTCTTAGCTTCCAGCTCCAGTTCCTTGATCCCATGCCTCCCCACCATGATGGGCCCTTATCCCTCTAGAACCCCAAGCTCAAACTCCCTCTTAAGTTGCCCTTTGGAAGGCAGCTATGCTTACCACTCTACCACCAACACAGACCCCTTGTATCACAACATCAAAAGGTAACTACTATAGGGCCCATGAAAGACCTGTTGAATTGGGCTTTGAAGCTGGGCCTCAGGCAGCAATTTGTTTCATTTTTATATATTTATTTTATATGTCTGCATGTACTGCCTGCATGTTAAGTGCACCCGTGTCATGAAATGCCCGTGGAGGTCAGAAGAGGCTGTCGGTTCCCCTGGGACTGTAGTTATGGACAGTTAGCAGCTGCCAGGTGGGTTCTGGGATTCGAACCCGGGTCTTCTGCAAGAACAACCAGTGTTCTTAACCACTGAGCCATTTGTTTCTTAATGAGTTCTCTCTAAGTGATTGTGATCTATATTGAAGTTTGAGAGCCACTGCTCTATTCTGCGCACATAACACATTTCATTATGTCATTTTCATCTCTAATTTTGATTTCCTTTCTACAGTATGCATGCTTTCATAGACCATCTGAATTTACTTCAGCTTCTAAGAGGCCTTGAACAAATATATATTTCAAAACTTTTATCTTTAATGACAAAGGCTAGCAGGCTATCATTCATTGTAAGAAATCTGATTTTTTTTTACCCTTTTATCTTTTCAGTATTTTTTCCAAACCAAGTTCTAACTAGAATCTGAGCAAGGGTTAAACCAAGGGCAATCAGGATGGCTTGAAGAGTTTCCACACTATCTAATCAATGTTCGTATCTAACTACTTTTTAAAATATATTTTATTATTTTTATGTGTATGAGTGTATTGCCTGCACGTATGTGAGTGCACCCGTGTCATGCAATGCCGTGGAGGTCAGAAGAGGGCTTTGGATTCCCCTGGAAGTAGAGTTAAGGACGGTTCGCAGCTGCCACGTGGGTGCTGGGAATTGAACCCCAGTCCTCTGAAAGATCAGTTAGTGCTATTAACTGCTGAGCCATCTCTCAAGCCCTTGTATCTAACTACTTAAAGATACCTTTCAACTACCTCCTTTGAAAATCTATCCTAAATATCAAATAACAAGGACATACCATACATATTAGCCACAGAACAGACCACTACTCATTTGTTCTTGTCATTTAGCTACATGCTAATGTGAGAAAGAATCTAGAACTCTTCCTCTGTGCCTTAAGATAGCTGCTAAAATCAGTTCTATGAAGTTCTTTTAAGAGTCTATGCAAGAACTAACTGAAAACATTATTTGCTGTTCAGTGAACTCTCCATATTCCTCAACTAAGAATAATAAACCAAGACAGGGGAAGACTAATGGTCTGGAAGATATTTCTTTATGACATCAAGACAGGAGAAATAAATTGATAGTGCTGTATATTCCCTAAATGTGTGTGTATTGCTATCATGTCAATGGAAACTAAAACGATTAGGGCTTACAGTAATTCTCGTCAATGTTTTTATGCTCCATTTCTTATAGTTCACAGTACTTCATTTTTTTGCCCCTTAAAATATTAAAGTTAAATACAACTCCAATCTTATAAAAGGTTTTCATATTATTTGACTAGAATAAAGGTGCATCCCATTAGGTGCTATAGAATACTTAAAATATTAACCACAACTAGACACCAAGACTTTCATCTAATAAAGCCTATTTTCCATTCAGATATTAACCATTTGTTCTCTGGTTGCTTCTTAGAACAGATTTCCTTTTTCTTCTGCCTTTTGTTCATTTAGTGTGTCTCTCTGTGTATGTACTTGTGTGGGTATGCATATGGAGGACATAGAACAACTTGCAGAGGTCAGTTTTCACATCTCTCTACCCTGTATGCTCTGGGAACTGAACTCAGTCACCTGTCCTAGAGTTCTTACCTTTTCCCACTGAGCCATTTCACAGGCCCCTGGAGACTTTCAACCCAGGTAACTCAGGCGTAGAACAGTACAAATGCTTCCCCAACTGCTTCCAGTCTATACAGTATAGGTTAATTATTTTTTTATTTTTTTAAAGTTGACTTTATGTAATTCTCCTGCTCAAAAGCCCCTAGTGTTTACTGTAAAACTTAAGATACCAAACATCTAAACTCTTCCCCTGGCTTCAGGGCTAAAATCTGGCTCCAATCTTCAATGAACTTTATTTCACACTTTTTCCTAATAAGCAGACCCTCTTCATTAGGATAAATGAAATTTCTTAGGTCTTAGTGCAAGATTGAAGATATAAGAAAAAGAAAAACAGACACTGAAATCTCTAACAGCAAAAGTTTATTTACAATTGAAGTTAAGGTAGGGGTGTTTGTGTGTGTGTGTGTATATATATATATATGAATGAAATTTTTTGAAACAAGGCCTATATATATAGTCTTGGCTGGCCTGGACCTCCCTATGTAGACCAGGCTGGCCTCAAACTAGTAGCAATCCTCCTGCCTCTGCCTCCCAAATGCTGGAATTAGAGGCATGAGCCACCATACCTGGCTGAATTAAGAAATAATTTTAATCCATGCTGAGAAAACAGTAATATTCCAAACTTACACATAGGTATTTAATAAGGAATACAAGAGGATTCTGGGAAAGACTTTGGCATACACAACTATTGAAAGCAGGTATTCAGAACACTTAAACACCATTAAAATCATGTTATCAGAACACTTACATATATCACCTACGTTTACGTTACACCAACTTCATGGACACCTCATCTTCTAACTCCTCACTTGCTATTTGAATAAATAGCATTCAAGGTTAAATGTTAGGACTGGGAAGTAGAGAAGAAATACAGAAGTGGTAAGCATCACAATATTTCAGAGCCTACATATATGAATACAACATTAAAATTAAGAAACAGTGTTTCAATTTTTTGTGTGAAACAATATTCGGCAGTGTTTAGCGCATGAGAAGACACTGTTTTGGTCCATCCACTCTCTCCAGCTTTTCAAAGTGTTTCCTGGCATTTCGGATGTTGATCAGAGTAGCTGCAGAAGCTGAGGGGGTGGGGGTGGGGAGATACCCAACAGAGTAAGAAGGGCAGTCAAAGGAATGTCTGTCTAGTAAAAACAATGAATTCAAAAGGAGTCAAATCCTTCAATGTATGTCAGAGAGCATATAGGAACAGAAAGTCTCAAGTTACCAAGGTTTAATATTTATGAAGAAGCAGAAGATTTGCACCTATCCTAAACAAAAATTTTTTAAATCTTTTGGTTTGGGGCTAATAGCATAGATCTCAGGATCTTATGTTACCTTGTAATATTATATTAACCTGAAGTAAAATCAGGAGTAGAGAGATAATTTATGTGGGGCTATCCTGGGAATACTGTGAGAACTTTTATTCTTTTCTTAAAAAATATTTATTTATTATTTTTATTTTGTGTGTATGTGCAGTGCTTGCATGTATGTAAGTAGACCCATGCCATGCAATGCCCATGGAGGTCAGAAGAGGGTGTTGGATCCCTCGGAACTGGAATTACGGATGGTTGTGAACCACCATGTAGGTGCTGGGAATCAAACCCAGGTCCTAGTGCTCTTAACTGCTGATCCATCTTGCCAGCCCTGAGAACCTTTATTCTAATGGTTGAAACAGGCATGGCTTTTATGGTATGGAAATACCAAATACTTCCTTTCATGCCCATTACAAAAATACATGTTTATGGAAGATAGACTGACATATAAAATAGTTCACCATTTAATAGCTAAGACATTATATGGGTTAGTTTTTTTTAAAACTTCATGGATCTAGGTTCTCTTTTCTTTAAAACTCTTCAATTTAGGAATCTGCTTTCTGTGTTCTCATGAAGAAACAAAGTACTTGAGTAGATAAAATCTTTCTCAGCTCCAACATACAAGCCTATTAAATAAAAATCATCCAACACTATTACTACTAATTTCTTTAACGGTAGTAAAATATTACATACAATTTACCATGCATATCATTTTCAAGTGTACAGTTCTGTGAGATTAAATATTTTCATGTTACTGTACAACTACCCCACTATAAAATTATTTTAAGTATCTAATAACGCACTATCTCCAGTATTTGTAAAAAGCTATGTGACTCTGAAACTATGTCAGCTAAGTTTAAACTTACGAATGGATGGATCAGACATCACGACCATGACATAAGTGTTGGATGTGAATATGTCAATGAAAGCAGCAAAGTTAGAGTTCCTCACTTCCATACTCTGGAAAGAGGCAGCCAGCTTGCTATGAGAGAAAGGAAAACAGGTTAAAGGAAAGAAAATAAGTTCTTTTCTATGTTAAAAAATTTTATAGTACTCTACCTCAATTCACCACGTTTTAAGATTGTTTCCAAGGAAACTCATAACGAATTTAACACGTTTTAGAAAGTGACTGGATTAGAAAGTTGCATAGTGCTTGATGTTGACTAAAAAGTGAAAATGGACTTAAATCTCATTTTAATATGGATTCAGATCCATTAAAATTAGTATTACCAAAGACCTTTCTCATAGTTTTTAAAAAAGCAATGGGTTTCATTATGACATCTTTATACACACATACATACTTTGTTCTTATTTGGTCCCATTCTCACTGAGCCATGTCCAGTCTCTTGTCTTGTTTTTGCCAGTCCTGTTACCCCCCGAATAGTTCCCCTGTCAGTTTTTCTGTAATATAGGTATCACATTACTTTCTCTCCTAACCCAACTACCTAAGATCTCTTCCTCCCTTCTCACGGTCTTATGTCTACTTTTATGACGTACATACAGAGACACAATTTTAAATCTAGATTCCTCATGTGAGAAAGCATGTGGTATTTGTTTGAGTGGCTCATTTCACTTAATATAATGATTTCCAGTTCCATTTATTTTCTTGCAAACGTCATGAGTTTACTTTTCTTTATGGATGAGTAAAAGTCCATTGTACATATGCACAAAATTTTCTTTACCCATTCATCTGCTGATGGGACACCTAGGCTGGATCTATTTTGAATATACTATGAATAGAAAACATCATGGATGTGTAAATACCTGTGTAGTAGGATATAATGTCTCTTGCTCAGGAGTAGATTAGCTGAGTCATATGGTAGTTCTGCTTCTAAAACCTCCATGCTGGTTTCACAGTGGCTGCATAGGTTTACATTTACTTGAGCAGTGCCTGAAGGATTGCTCTTTCCACTCATCTTCATCAATATCTGCTCTTTCTTGATGGCAGCCAGACTGACTAGGCTGACACAGAATACTGATAGATTTTAATTTGCATTTCTCTGATGGCGAAGGATGTTGAACAGCTATGAGAACATGAATTGGTCATTTGAATTTCTTCTGAGAACTATTTGTCATGTATTGATTGGAAGATATTCTGTTTAACTTTCAGACTTCTTTATACAGATGACAACGATTTCCTCTCAGTTTGTAAGCTGTTTCTTCATTCTGCTGATTGTTTCCTTTGCTATATAGAAGCTATTTAAATTCATGTAATCCTACTTGACAAATTCTTGGGATTATTTCTTGAACAACTGAAGTTCTTTTAACAAAGTCCTTGCTTATATATTGCAAGCGTCTTACATAGATTTTCATCTAGCAGTTTCAGAGCTTCAGGTCTTACATTAAGGTCTTTGATCAATTTTTATTCAGGGTGGGAGATATGGGTCTAGTTTTATCCTTCTACATGTAAATATTCAGTTTCCACAGCATCAATTGTTAGAATAGGCTGCCTTTTTTTCCCTAATGTATATTTCTGATGACTCTGTTAAAGTCAGGTGCCTTTGGCTGTGTGCGCTTATTTCTAGATTCTCTATTCTATTCTATTGGTCTATATGTCTGTTTTAGTGTCAGCACCATATAATTTTTGTCATTACGTCTCTGTAGTATAATTTGAGAATAGGTATTGTGATACCTCAAGCATTGGTCTTCCTACTTGCAATTGCTTTGGCTATTTGGGGTCTTACGTAATTCATATGAATTCTAGGTTTTGCTTTTCTAGCTCTGTGAGGACTATAATTTGAATTTTGATGAAGATTATACTGAATCTTTGAATTACTTTCAGTAATATAACTTTTACAATATTAATTCTGTCAATCCATGAGCTTAAGAGGTCTTTCTATCTACTAATATCTTTAAGTTTTCTTACGAGTTTTCATTCTAGAGGGCTTTCATTTTCTTTATTAGGTTTAATCCATGTTACTTCATTTATTTTGAAGCAATTGTGAATGTGATTTAGTATTCTGTTACACTGTTGAAAGTGTTGATTAGACCTAAGAATTACCTAGTGGAGGCTTTAGGGTTTTTTAAGTAAAGGATTATGTCATTTGCAAATCAAGATAATTCTATTTCTTTCTTTCCTATATATCTCTTTTCTCTTGTTCTCATTTTTTCTGGCAAAGACTATGAGCATTATACTGAATAAATAGAGAAGTGGGCACCCTTTCCTCACTCCTGATTTTAGAGTAAATGCTTTACAATTTTCCTCATTTAGTATAATGTTGGCTACAGGTTTGACATGCACAGCCTTTATTATGTTTAGATACATTATTTTTACTAGTTTCTTTAGGCTTTTATCATGAAAGGTTGCTGAACTTTGTCAAAAGCCTTTTCTCCATCTATTGATATGTGATTTCTATCCTTAAGTTCATTTATACACTATATTATACTTATTATCATATGTTGAACCAACCTTGCATCTGTGGGATAAAACTAACTTGGTCACTGTGATTTTAATGTGTTCTTCAATTCAGTTTTCAAGAGCTATACTGACAACTTTTGCAATTATGTTCATCAGGGAAATTGGTATAGGTTTTTTTTTGTTGTTGTTGTTGTGTCCTTACCTGGCTTTGATTTCTACAATGAGTCTGGTAGTTTTTTTTTTTTCCCTTTTTATTTTGTGGAAGCAAAAGTTTGGTAAAATTCACCAGTGAACTCATCTGGTTCTAGGCTTTTCTTTGTGGGGAGACTTAATTACTGCTTCAATTTTTTTATTTGCTATGGGTTTGAGGTGTTTATACATTCTTGATTTAATTTCGGAAGGTCATAAAGTATTTAGGAATTTACCCAGTTCTTTTAAGTTTTCTAGCTATTGAAAAAAAAATAGTATTCCCAAGATAATTCCTGGATTTCACTGGAATCTGTTGCAACATCCTCATTTGCAACTCTGATTTCAATCATGTTTTTCCGTACAAAGAACCACTTTTTTGGTTTGATTCTACGTTTTTTTCTTAGTTTCTATTTCATTAATTTCTGCCTTGAATTTTATTGTTTCTTGCCACCTACTGCTTTTAGGTTTCACTTACTCTAAGACCTTGATTTGAGATGCTGTGATTTTTTAATGTAAGCACTGCACTCATAGCTTAGAAACTTTCCTCTCTGACTGCTTTAGTTGTTAATTTGGAGGTTCTGATAAGCTGTTAACACATGCTCACAATTCCTCAATTTTGGAAACCAAAGATAACGAAATACTTGAAATGCCAGAAAAGGACTGCGGAGTCTTACTAAATTAAGTATCAGTGATTACAGTCAAATAACCTGGTGAATAAAGTAATGAAATCAATTCAATGGATGAATGGATGACTAGCAGTGTGGAGGAGGAATGAAAAGCACTGAGGAAAAACTCATGAAGGAAATTGAGATTCTGGAAAAGAACCAAACAAAAATTCTAGAAATGAAAGAAATCAATTTATCAAATAAGAAGCACAGTGGGAATCCATTAAAACACAAGACCAAGCAGAAGAATATTAGAGATAGAGGACAAGTCAATTCAATAATGCATTCAGGTATAAAGGAAAAAGAGCATGATTAAAACTTGCAAAAAGTCTTAGTTATATTCAAGAGATCAAACCTAAGAATCTGTGGAAGAGCAGAGCAAAATACCCAATACTAATTTCCAAAATCTAGGGAAACAGATATCCAAACATAAGAAGCATTTAAAACCCCAAACAGACATGCGCAAAGAAGAGCCTCTCCATGACAAATCACAGTAAAAAATACAAAGAAACAGTATTAAAAGCTGAAAGAAGAAAATGCCACCTCACATTTAAAGGCAACTATCAGAATAATATTAGATTTCAAATGCCAGGACAACATGACATGATGTATTTCAAGCCCTGAAACCAAGCAACTGACAACCAAGACTGCTATATCTAGCATACTTATCTTTTAAAATTGATGGAGAAATAAGAACATTTCAAGACAAGTACAAAGTATGGCATTTCATGACCGCTAGCACTTAAGAAAACACATAAAAGAATACTGTACATAGAGGAGAAAGACAGCCTCATTCACAAGATCACAGGAAAGAGTAAATTCCATGAGACGAAAAGATGAAAAAGATGAGAAGGAACCTGTCACGTCCAACACAGTAAAATAGCAAACCCCTAAGATGGACATTCAAGAAAGAGCAAACAATAATTTAACCAACCAGAAAAAAAAAATCTCCCTAAAACAAAAAAGCATAGTTATTAGCAAATCTCTTTTAATAATAACTTTAAATGTAAATGACATCAGTTCCCCACTTACCAGCCTCAGACAGGCTAAGTTAAACAACAAAATCCATATGTATCTTGTCTTCAATAAACTCACCTCAACAAGGAAATCCACAGACAGAAAGTCAAAGAATACAAGTCATCTCAAGCAAATGGAAACAGAAAACAAGCAAGCATACCTCATATCAAAATTAGGACCTATATACTAATATAAGGAGCTATACTGTACCATACATAAAATGAACTTCATGGACGTGTATAGAATATTCCATCTGATGTACAGGGAACATACATTCTCAGGATTCCATGGAACTTTCTCTAAATTCAATCACATTCTAGGCCACCAAACAAGCCTTAACAAATATTATTAGATCATGGTGGAATAAAACTAGAAAGACAAAGCACAGAAACACACAGAAATTAAAGAATGAATAATATACTCTTCAATTAACAGTGGGTCACTGAAGAAATTAAAAAGATGGCTCAGCAGTTAAGAGTAATGGCTGTTCTCCAGAGGACCCGTGTTCAGTTCCCAGCATCCATCTGGTAGGTAATAACCATCCATCACTCTACTTCCAGGGAAACCGATGCCCTCTTCTGGCCCCCACAGGCATTGTTCATGTGTTTTGTGACTATTAGGATGTATCTTCTGGTTTTTATTATTCTCTTTCCTATTGTTTTGTTTATTATATGTGTGTCATGCTGGTGATCTGGGTTTACTTGAGTTTGTTTCCTACTACTCATTAATAGAGGAAGCCAACCATAGTAACAGAAACAGTGGTTTGACAACAATCCTGGTTTTAGCGTGCAGTGAAAGACACTTGAGATGGCTGCTAGTCTCCATAATTTGAACACGTTGTATAGGTATATCCTCCCTGTTGAGAGGTGTTTCTATGTTGTACTCTGTAGGAGTTTCCCAATCTGAAATGGTCAATCTGTCAGCTACAGCCTTGTCTCTAAGGAGTATTTCTGATCACATGTTCCATGAGGAGTTTTGAGAGTGTGGAAGGAGGGCTCACACTTGTATTTATCTCTACCAGTGGGTGTTCTCTTCCTGCTCAGATCCCAGTGTTTATTTGCCAATGCCCCATATTCAATGCCTGTGAATATGTATGTCCATCTGCAACACCACAGCCAAGTTCAGCATACTTCTTGTATTCCCATGTTGTTCCTTGCCATAGGTAGTGGTTGCAGTGGTGCTTTCCATTTATTCTTCAGGCTAGTCGATCTGGGGCTGTTACAAAGACTGTCAGCTTCAAGTTTCCTTATTGCACTTCTACCCTGGAATCTGTAGTCAGTGTTGTCCTGGCAGTCTCTGCCTAGTGTACCCAGCTCCTAGATGTGTTTCCATAGCCTGCATAGTCTATTTCCATATTACTATTCCTATGACATTCATTCCCAGGAGGGGACAGCACCTCTCTGACTACTGACCATGATCCCAGTGGAGGCAGTGTGGTATACATTCACTGTTTCTAGTGCAGGGGACTTATTTCTTTTCTGTGCATCTCCTTTCTTTTTTCAGACATTGCAGCTGTCCTACCATTCCCTGAGTATGTTTTATGATATTCTTCCATTCTTTCTTTTAAGTAATGAGTCTTTTCATTTTAATCTAGACTTTTCTCCTTCACCAGGTAACAGGCATTCCCTTCCTTTTCAAAATTTTCTTATTCTATTTCTATTTCTTCCCAAATAATATCAAACATTTCAAAAGAGTACTTGGCTTGAGTATTTTCTGAAATGCTTTTGTATTAAGTAGCTCAGTCTGCATAAACTATGGCTTTGGATTCTTTTTTCTTAAAATTTTCTGGATTTAGCTGGGCATAGTGGCACATGCCTTTAGTCCTAGCACTTAGGAGGCAGAGGCAGGCAGATCTCTGTGAATTTAAGGCCAGCCTGGTCTACAAAACAAGTTCTAGGCCAGCTGGGGCTACAGGGAGACCCTGTCTCAAAAAGACCAAAAAAAAATTTCTGAAGTTCCCGTGAAGAAAAACATAATGCCCTAATATCTAAATTATTTTTATTCTTCAAAATATAAACCCACTAACCTTTACACTAAAGGATAATAGATGGTACTTTAGTCAGCTGTAGGCGTCCATGGAGCTCAACTTTCTTTTGGAGTAAAAGAACTACTGCAAACATAGTTGTACTGTCAACTATAGTTTCTTTTAACCTTCAAAACTGATACTTCCCAGAAATGACCAGTTCACATTAATAAGATCTCCTACCTGCAGCTCAGCTTGAACTGCTTAATAATGTTGCTGATTTTCTCAAATCTATGGGCATCACGCTGTTCTTTACATTGATAATGAGAAATCACCTGTAAAAAAGAACATTGTCCTTTGAATTCACGCAAAATAGTCTTTCTACCCCGTTAATATTAAAGCAGACATCTATCAATTTTTTGGCTATCTTGGTTTTAAGAATTGACTTATCACCTAGCTTACTATTTTTTCTGCTCTGTCCCAAATCCTTGTCAAAACCGTTTGTGATTTCAACATTCATTTAGATAACCTATCCAGTTATCCCCCAGTTATAACTTTATTAGATCATTTACGTATTCTCTACAGATGGTCTGTGACTATGACAGTATGATTTTTCACTTTTCAATGGTGATTAATTGTTACATTCAGTAGAAACCATATTTCAAAATTTCCCAGGCTAGGAATATGTGTTACAATATTTTCTTGTGATGCTAAACAGCAATCCTGAGCTTTAACTCCTAGTCAGCCACAAGATTACAAAGGTAAAGAACTGATATTTTTCGACGTATTTGCATTGTTCAGCTATGATACTTGGTAGGTTAGGGGTATTCAATGCATTTTCAACTTACATTGTGTTTATTAGGACACAATCCTATCCTAAGTCAAGGTGCACCTGCATTTTGGTTTCACTGGCATTTTTTTAAATTACCTTAATTATTAAGAAAACCCATGTCACCTGCCAACACAATGTGATGCATTTCAAATATAATTCTTACTTATCATTATTACTTTTTTATGTGTATCTGTGTAGTGCCTGCATGCAGGCAGGTACACCTGTGTTGTGCAATGCCCATGGAAGTCAGAAGAGGGCGCTGGATCCCCTGGAACTGGAGTTACAGATGGTTGTTAGCTGCCATGTCGGTGCTGGGACTCCAACACGGGTCTTCTGCAAGATCAACCAGTGCTCTTAACCACTGAGCCATGTATCCAGCCCCTGAAATATAATTCTTATACCAATGACAGAACAGATGTACCTTGCTTGAGTTAATCTTCCTCAGTAAAAAAAATTAAACACATTTAAGCTTGCTCTTTAAGAGAAACAAAAGCTCTCAGGGATAGAGAGCTTATATTAGGTTATCACTATGACCATGCGTGGAAGGTGCAGCAAGGGAATACTGCCAAGCCAGGATTCTGTTGTGCTATATACATTAAGACAGACAGAACAGCTTATTTCCTAGTTAGTAGTCATATTATTCAGAAAAAAATGGACTGAGTAGTAATTTCAAGAAAGTAACCTATGCCAGTGGGCTAACATAGAAAAGCACTCTAGTTAGGATCTGTGCCCCAGCTATACCAGCTATTAAGAATCGGGTCTCCAAAATGCTATTGTCAAAAATAGTGTTTCCAGCCTAGGGGCTAGAGAGATGGCTCAGAGGTTAAGAATACTTGCTGCTCTTCCAGAGGACCTGGGTTTGATTCCCAGCACTCATTTGGTGGCTGACTAACTCCAGTTCTGGAAATCAGACACTTTCTTCAGGCCTGTGTGGGCAATGCACACATGCACTTAAGTACATACAGGCAATGCACGCATACACATAAAATAAACACAAATGAAAATAGTGTTTCCATTAAAGGAAGGGGGCAGAATTGCACTTTATATTCTTTAACCTTTGTTGCTGTAACAGCAAAGGGGAACGATGTTTAATACTGTGCTTATCACATGCCAAGGGTTGTGCTGGGTACTTACCATTACCCTGTCTCATTTTTAGTCCACACAACAAATCTGTGATATAAGCATTATTATCCTTGTTTTGCAAAAAGGAAAGAAGCCCAGAATGATTAATAAATCTGTCTGAAAACACCCAGAACTGGTAAAGCTTGAATCTAACTCTTTACTAAGAGCTGCTTTTAGGATTACATTGAATAAACCAGTTACCAATCACTTATGGGGTGTGCTCTGATATATTATATTAGCTTTTATCATTACTATTAAAAAAAAAAAAACGATGGGGCTGGAGATCTAAATTTGAATCCCAACACACCCGGGATTTGAAACCTAGCACTCACATGGCAGCTAACAACTGTCTGTAACTCCAGTTCCAGGGGATTTGATGCCCTCTTCAACTTCTGTGGGCGCTGCATGACACGGGTATGCTTACATACATGCAAGTGTAACACTCATATGCATAAAAAATGAATTTTTTTTTTTAGGTATACATTGGGCGGGAGAGATGGCTCCTCAGTTAAGAACACTTCCAAAGAACTTGAGTTCAGTGCCTATAACTTCTAGCTTCAAGGCCTCCATGAAAACTGCACTCATCCACTACACACACACACACACACACACACACACACACACACGCACACACACAAACCCCTCACACACACAACCCTCACACAAATAAAAAAGAAACTTAAAATATATTGTATACATGGGACTGGAGAGGTGGCTCAGTGGTTAAGAGCTCCAGTTCCAGTAGACCGACCCAATGCACTCTTTTGATCTCCAAGGGTACTGCATACACATGGTGCGCTTTACATACATGCAAGTGAAACACTCATAAATTTGTTAAAATTAAATATATACATATAAAACAGATTTTTGCATCTCCCACTCACAGCTGTACAAAAAGCAGGTTCTAGTATAGTTGCTAAGTTCAATTTATAAGAAAATTAGAACTACCAACATGTCTCTTCCCATTCCACTTCTCCACGTGCACTCTTAAATATGACATTGAGACTTTTACATGTTCCAAGTTTTTAACTCAGTCTTTTTGAGAAAAGGGTGGGAAGAGTTTTCTGTCTTTCTTAAAAGAAAAATACCCTACATTTAAAAATAAAAGTCAACAGGCAAAAGGAATCCTTTATCATAATTGAATAGTTATTAGCAGAAATAATCTAAGCGATCTAACAAGGCATGCCTGCCAAAATCTACATTTTACTAATTGCTGAAAAGGCTTAAAATTATCAAAGAACTTCTTTCACATCACTTGTGGACAATATTGCTTTATAAACAAGACTGTGAATGCTGATATAATAGCAAAAGGGGGAAACGTTGACCCTGAAAGTACCAACATGCTATTCTCTGAACAGAAGAAGGCACAATTTCAAATCTATCTGTAGAACAGAAAGTCCTTACCAGAAAAGTAGCTCTCTCAAACAGAAGTACTTCATCAGCTTCAATGATTTCAGCAAAATTCCTTAGGTTCATTTCCAGCTGCTGAACATTGGGGATTAGCTGATAAACAATACTGGACCAAGCCTAACAGAACAGAAGCACAAGGTTACAGTATTACCAAAAGATAGCTAGCTCTAGACATCTGAAATGAGTAAGTACCCTACAACATACAGACAGCAAAGTATAGTGATAGAGTCCCAAACAAATGTGAATATTAAATATAACAAAAAATGAAATGAGAAATGAACCTAATACTTGATTTGTATCCTTGAGTTGAATTTTAGTTCAAACGCTTAAGAAATGCTGGAGAAATTCTTTCCACAGATAAACAGGTAACTTAATGCCACTGTGTTGCCGTAGGAAAAAAGTTGCAAAGTATTGTGCTAAAAAGCTTCTATTTCAAACATCCAACAAGTTCAACATGAAACACTGCTTTAAAAATAAGAAATAATGCCATATTTAACATACACCCAAGAGTCAATTTTGTGAAAATATTAGCGCCACATAGACAAGTGGAGTGGCTCCTTCCTTTAATGCTATATCATTGTAAGAGAAATGAGTAGGATTATAATTTCCAAAAGTTTGTTGTCATCTGCAATGATCATTGATTCCACTGAAGTTTAGAAGATCCACTGTGTGAATGAATGTCTGAAACTAGTTTTATCCACAGTAATATGACTAATAAAATGCTACACCCTCCCTCTATTTTCTTAAGGTGCTGGTATTCTGTATTTCTGTTATAATACTTCCTTCTGGGTTAGGTGTACTTTGTTCTTCTCTCCCCTATGAAAGGTCAGGAATCCAATCTTACCCATGTGGGCATGTGACAGCACCCAATAGACAGACAGACAATGAATGCTTGTTGAATAAAACTTAATACAAAAATTTATGTCACTTCTATGCAACATTAATGTAAGACACAGCAGTAGTGCTATGTCTCTGTTCCAATTAGTTCCCAGGTCAGTGTTAATGTCACTGCTGAATTTACCTTGGAGAAAGCACCAAAGCTAACCACAGCAGAGACATTGTCACTCACAGCAGTGTTGTGATTAGCCAATTGTCATTGGTCGTGTTATATATTGCCATCCTTCACACCGCAGTTGGTTCTTATCAGTGCACCATGTCCATCCTTATTCACGGTTACCTGTTCTATGGGAATAAGGCTTTGAGAGAAATTCGGCCCATATTAATCTAGAACAGTACTTCCTAGACAGGTATCTCAAAATGCTGTTAAAAGAGTGAGCCTGACTGAGGCAACAAAATAATGTGAGAAAATAAATTAGTTTTTCCTAAAAAAGTAATGGCTATTTTTAAAGCCTAATAGTTTTTCTCCTTGGCAAGTTAGGTTTCTGTGCTTCTGGTTGTAGACACTTGTCAGATGCAGTTGATACTGAAGCTCTAGCTACTGACAGAAGGATCCTTTGTCACCCAGAGTCACACTTGTCAATGAATACCTGAAACAGTCTGAAGGAAAGATCTGACCACAAGACGACATGAAAGGAGGCAATCTTTAAATCACTGGTAAGAAGAAAAATGGAAAGAGGAGCCTATATACCAATAACTTCAGCTTCATCCATAAAGAACTACTGTTATAATCTCTATAACTAATCCAAGCAGCATGGCATTCATTGCAGCAATGCTAACAATCCTTCTTGGTCTTTAGCTTGGCATGAAAATTAAAGTAACTATACACACTAGACATAACATATCTCATTCTAAGATTCCCTTCTTCAATTTCTCCACTAAGTATTTTTCTTCTACTGCTATCAGAATCTAGGCAGATTAGTTTATAATATCATTAGCATGTAGAAGATACTTAATTATTAGATACAACTCCAATCATTGAGATCAGAATGGATGGTGAACATTAAGCAAAATTTTTGCTATTACAAAGAACAGTCAGCAAGTGAATCATAACTGAACTGGCAAATTCAGTGACTTGGTAACAACATCAACCCAATCTAAAATTAAAACCCAAATCTCTTAATGCTTGATAGTCTTCAAACAATGTTATAGATTATTTCCATTTTCAGTAAAACAAATCTAGATTGGCTGTGGAATAGTTTAAAATCCTTTCGTTTTGTTGATATCATTCTGTTTTGTTTTTTTTCATGTTCCCAAAATAGAGAACTGAGGAAATATACACACCTTATAAAGTGTTTCATCCCAGATAGATGTTCGGAAACAAGAACATTCTAATGGACGAGACAAACGCCTTAGATCTTCTTCTCGTTCTTTAAAGATCTGAATTAAAAAGCCCAACACACTCATTAGCTTTCCTCCTTTAATGCAAAATCTAAGATGTAATTATTTTAGCATATTCTGATGAATTGTTTTTATAGGAATTTTGAGTATATTATTTCTCAAACGAGGATGGCAGGAATTATTTCAAGTCAGGCATAAAAATGTTAATGAATACTAGACTTCTTCAGGCTTATTCTGCATGTTCATAGAGAAGTATGTTGGAAAATAAAATTTATTATACAGAAGAATCTTAAAATGTAAACATGCCAAACCTTTTAATACAGTAATACCTGTATCAAGATTTTGTATATAAAAATACTATTTAGTTCTCTTTTTAATAACTTTTATACATACACAAACATCTACCCAGCTTGGATTTGCTCCTATATGCATGTATATACATATACACGTCCTTATATCAGAGAAAAATTTCTATATCAAACATGTATACTCAAGATATTTTTCCTTAAGTGGGTGAATGTGTGTATTATACAGTGATATTATACAGTGATGGTTAATTTTATGTATGAACTTGGTTTATCCACAATACCCAGGAGATTAATATTTAAATAGACTTTGAATAAAGTAAATTGCATTTGATACACACTAAAGGCCTTAAGAAAAAAAGATGAACCTACTGGAACATATTGAGGAAAATAAATTTTGTCTCTAGACTGCCTTTTGCGTCAACTCAGTATTGAAGTTTTATACATCTCTAGTATGTAGGCCTGCTTTACAAACTTCATACTTGTTAGCCTCCACACTCAATTGAACTAGTTGCTCACAATAAATCAATCTCAACTTTTGCCTCTCTCCTCCCCAAACCACCCTCTGTGTACTCATTTTTGGGTAGTTTGGAGACTCAGGCGAACCCTTAGTAAGATCTTAGTACTAAGACTGGGTTCTAGAGGATTTTTTTTTCTTTTGAAGCTTTAGGACAATTTTATTAGAATTTTAAAGAAAAATTCTCAGGGCAGGTGAGCTGGTAATCTTGGCAGCTGCCTTGAGGAGAAAAAAGCCATGAAACCATGCAGTTTTAGAGCCTGCATGGAGGTCAGACACATGGTGGACTGGCAGTCACATTGTAGGGAGAAGGAGTTTTAGAGAAAAAGGAAAGAAATGCAAGATGCTAAGGCAGCCCAAAGAGTTAAGAAAGCATGTATAGAAAAGGGATATGAGGAAGAAAAGGAAAGATTATGCTTTTCTGAAGAATTCAGAAAGGTGGGCAGACTTTATAAAGCTATACATCTGTGGCCAGATCCAGAAGCACTGCCTAGAGAAGGATCTTAAGGATGAGTTTTCTGAATTGCTTTTGAAGTAACTGGGATTAGTTCTCTAATCTGATTACAACTAAAGATGCTAATGATTCTATACTGAATACGAATGTGTATACTCCTAGCTCATGAAGTGATGTAATATACAGATACTGAATACTCCTAATCAAATACTTGTAAGAGACAAAGTTCTGGGCAATCGCATACAACTCTTTGTCAAAATGAAGAGTGTAATAAGATTTCCTAGCTGATCCTAATTTTGCTGTACAAAGTAGGGAATGACAAGGATGAGCTCAGACTTAACTCTCCAATTCAACCACAATATAAATGACTTGAAGTTTCTGTATTTGCCCTCAAAGAACCTTTTATCTCCTATAGCCACGACCCGAGACTGCTAAAAACTAAACTTGGAATCTCATTCCTTGAATAGATAAATGACAGCACAGATTGAATCCCTACCTCCATACAGAGTCTGCTTTGAAAAAATGGGCACTGGCTATTAAGGAAGATGAACCTGGATACTGAAACTAGGCCCATCTGGGAAGATATTAAGGAAGCTGGGGATGCTGAACGCCAAAATTCTCAACTCTTTGCCAGTAGAAGCAGGCACTCCATCACTATTTAAGAATAATTCTACTTTTCCTGAGGAAACTGTAATTGCTTCCTCTGACATAGCTGCATGACAGTTCTGATTCACCTACCATCTCTTTTTGCCTCAAGATCTACAGTTAAGACTCAAGGATCAGAAGCCTCCTAAAGGTGAGATACATAGCATAAATTAGAGGTATCCTATACTCTGAAAGAATTATGATTTTTCTAATTTACATAGGCTAAAATCAGACAAATAACTGTGGGAATGGATTTTAAGGGTGTAGAATAATGGTGGAAAGAATATAACATTCAATCAGGCCAAATATATTGATATTGACTCAATAAACAGATCATTTGCAGGTACTGTTGAGGATCAAGGGCTAAGAAAGTATTCTGCCTGTTTAGTTCCTAGCTGAGACATGAACCAAAACATGACCCATACTAAATAATAAATTTAAATGTCAGACTTACATTGATCTATCACACAGGAAGGAATCTAAAGGCTTAGGGAGACTGCCATCTTTAAGATCTGTTATTTAAAACTTATTCATAGGAGGTTCCAGAACACAATGACTATGAGAAACCAATTTCTGAGAGGAACTCTAACCTCCTTCCCCAGCTCTCTGATAACTCTTCTCTGTGGGCCAAAACAAACAGTGGTTAACTGCTTCGACTTAGAAAATCTAAATGCAATCTAAATGGCGCATGCCTTTAATACCAGAGCTCAGGAGGCAGAGGCAGGTGGAGCTCTGTGAGTTCAAGGCCAACCTGGTCTACATAGTGAGTCCAAGACCAGCTGAGGCTACAGGGAGACCCTCTCAAAAAAACCAAAAAAAAAAAAAAAAAAAAAAGCAATGAGAAAGTGAAACCTGGAGTAAATAGACCAATTTGAAGGCATTTTACCACAAAATGCAAGGTGGGTACAGTTATTTTAATGGATAATAGAATCAAAGTACCAACAAAATAGTCTGAATCACAGAAACCTATGGCAGTGACTAGTTGATCCTGGTGGTCACGAAAATAGATGGGATATCTTGATCTACAAAAGTAAAAGAATCTAGGTAAAGCAATCAAAAAATACAGTATGAATTATAAGAGTCATGGGCCCGCAACTGGTACTGAGACTTGTGCCACTTTGTAGATTAAGAACCCCTTGAATGAAGAGGAGGCTGGATCAACTTCAGGAAGGATGCTACCACAGTATCAATCAACTTGCCTATTCAGCTTCTGTAGAAGACATATGGCTCTTGGATAGTGGGATACCATAAGCTTAATATGATTGGACTGCAATTGCAGGTGATATATTAGATGTGGTTTCACTGCATAAGCAAACAACTATATTTCTGACAAATACCTTTTTCTTCTACTCTTATCCATAAATCCCACCAGGATACATTTGACTTTGGCTGGTAATACAACTTCAATGTCCCACCTCAAGGGCAATAACAATTACTTAGCCCTACGTGACCATTTAATTTAGAGGGATCTTGATTACTTTTTCCTTTTATAAGATATTACATTGGTGCATTACATTGATGACACCACACGAGCTGGACCCAGTAGGCCAAAAGTAGCTATTCTAGACTTACTGGAAAAATATCTCTAGTCAGGGAGCAGGAAATAAATTTGACCCAAATGCAGAAAGATTCTACCTCATTAAAACTTCTAGCAGTCCAGTAGTAGGGGCATGTGGAACTACATCTTCTAAGGGGAAGGAGAAGTTGCCACATTTGGCCTATTCTATATCCAAAAAGAGACACATTTTAGTGGGCTTCTTTGGAATTTGGAAACAATACAAACCTGACTTGAGTGTGTTACTCTGGGTTATTCACTGGTGACTCAATAAGCTTCTAGTTCTGAGTATGGCCCAGAATAGAAGACAGTGCTACAACAGATCTGAGCTGTTATACAAGGTTCTCTGCCTTTTGGCCCATATCATCCAATAAATCCAATGATGTAATAAGTGGCACTGGTAGACAGGGATGTTACTTGGAGCCTTTGGCAGACCCCTATAGGTGAATAGCAGTGTCAGTTAGGTGAATATACCTTGCAGGACTAGCATGAGGTCTTCTATGATATTGTAAATGCTCTGAATCATCCAATGCCTTCCAGAATGAGCACTCATGGATATACTTTTTGAAGGATGTTAATGGGAATAGCAACATTATTACCCTTCCATAATCTACTAGCTACTACTAGGGCTAAGAGATAAAGTTTTATTTCTTGTCACTATAATCTTACGCTCTACTGGCCTAGAGGTTTCAGTTCCAAGCAAAGGAATGTATCCACCAGAGATACAATAATTCTATTAAACTAGAATCAATTGATAAAGGGAGTTCCTATGCTGGCTGATGTGACCCTGAATACCAAGTGGGTAATTGAACCAGTATCTCACAATGAAGTTAAGAAAGGGTATAAAGGATATACATTAGGATATCTCTTAATATCATATCCTATAATTAAAGTAGTAGAAAACCATAGCTATCCAATTCAGGCAATTTTAGTAATGCATCAGACCATTAAGTCTATTAATGGTCTTTTGAGTTACTCCATAAATAAGGAACAACCAGGTATGATGCTTGGTGTGAGAAAGAATCCAGAATTTTTTTCAGTTATAAATACTAGCCACAGGGGTTGGATAGATGGCTCAGTGGTTGAGAGCATTGACTGCTCTTGCAGAGGACCCGGGTTCTATTCCCAGCACCCACATGGCGGCTATGAACCATCCGTAACGCCAGTTCCAGGGGAATCCAAAGCCCTCTTCTGACTTCCATGGCATTGCATGACACGGGTGCACTCACATACATGCAGGCAATACACTCATACACATAAAAAAAATAAATATTTTTAAAATAAATACTAGCCATAACCACATGACCAACTGTACAAATAAGGACTCTATTATGAGTTCTCTTCCTTGATCCTGGTGTGTGTATTTACTCATATGTATATATAATAAACATGTTTATTATATATGTTATTATGTTTATTATTATAATAAACATAAACATAATAAAAGTATGTTTCTTTTCTTCTCTCTTACCTCGATCATAAGATGTATATGTCATTGTAACATCCTGTTGGGAGACCTCTGTTATGCAAAAGTCGAAGCCCCTTCACACCGGACAGTTCATGCAGCTCGGGAATGTGCCACGGGCTCCTTTTCATAGCAAGGTGCTTTCTGGCATCTTTCCTGTCTCTCCCTTTGAAGTGGCCGCCACAAAGGCCCTGACATAAACATTGCCTTTGGCTCTACGCACACCATGCCTTCCTGTGTGATTTTTACAGGTGGCCAGCAGTCTAGCAGTGTGGCAGAAATCCACTTCCACATGAAAATAGAATGTCTCACAGAGCATCTAACAGCCAAAGCTTTTACCACTACCCCCATGGTATAAAATATGCTAGTCTTCTCTTAATAGTGGGAGATTGGGCACGGCAGATTGGGCACAAGAGATCGGTTCAGAGACTGGGTCCCAGAGATTGGGTCCTACAGACAATAAAGCTGTAAGCACAGACTGAACCGAAAGGGTGTAATAGAGGCGGGATTCTGACTAGATAATACTCTAGTAGCAGAGGAAGCTCTCCGCTCCAGAGAAGTGTGTAGCTATCAGCTACAGCCAGCATCAGAGAAGTCTGCGCACCTGCTGTCTCCAGAGAGGCGCGGCCGGCCAGGCCCGCCAGTGGCTAGCCAGCGGGACCAGAACCACGGTGGGAGAGTGCACGCACACCTGACCCTGGGCCACATCCAGAGTGAGTGCGCCCTGGAGCCCAGGCGCGCTCCCCACATCGCTTGCGGCCAGACTCATGCTGGGATTAGCCAGGTGTGGCGGAGATCCCAGGGTGCCCGCACACACCACACCGGGGGTCCAGCGACCCGCCCCATAACATCCAAGTACTAATTAATTTTTAAAAATTTATTTATTATTATTTGTTTTTAATGTATGCGTGTATTGCCTGAATGTAGGCAAGTGCACCCGTGTCATGCATTGCCCTCGGAGGACAGAAAAGACTGTTGGATCCCGTGGAGCTGGTGTTACAAACAGTTGTTAGCTGCCATGTGTGTGCTGGGATTCAAATCTGGGTCTTCTGCAAGAACAGCCAGTGTTCTTAACTGCTGAGCCATCTCTCCAGCCCCGACATTTTAATTCTTTTACATAACTCATGGAGTGGGGGGTACATGGGCCATGGCCCAGGTGTGGAAGCCAGAAGACAATTTGTTGATGTCATTTCTCTCCTTCTATGTGGGTGCACATTCTGAATTCAGGACATTAGGTTTGGTAGCTGAGCCATCTCACTGGCCCCTGGCCCCTACAATGTAATATATGTTACAGGATAGTAACCAGAAGAGTAAACATTACTCAAGAATTTTGCATCCTCCTGTGGTTAAAGGAATTAATTTATTTCTGCATGTATGCAGGACAGCTGTATTATGTATATTACAATGTAGGGGGCCAGGGGGAAGTGAGTAAACTGAGGCTAGGCTATGACTGTGTATTGCCAGACCCAGAGTCTCATAGCTAGGTAAGAATTTACCCATTCTACTATCTTTTCTCTCATGAGTCCTTGAGTCCTTTCAGGGCTACTCTAGGTTATGGGTAGTTATCTTGGGTTTTTGTTGGAAGAATGAAGGTTTGCTATTTCCTATTGTAACATCCTTGGTCTTCTTTAGGTTATACTTGTGCATACTAATTCATTCATGCCAGAAAAGAAGAGAATCATATCATGCCAGTGCATCTGCGAGGGATCCTGCATAGTGCTTAACACATGAACCAAATTAATTTCTAAATTAAATTGGTGACAGGAGCAATCTTTCCTCCTGGTGGGTCTTTTAGCCATAATAATAAAACAAAGGCAATGAGCTATTTAAAAAAAAAATAAAGGTTATTTAGTGATAGCACATGGTCAGATTCTTAACCTAGCTCTGAAATTTAGTTGCTTTATGAATACTGTTATTTCCCTTACCATGAAAAGTGTGAATGCAAGTGTATGTGCTTTTCTTTTTCCCTTTGGAGATGGAATCTCATCATGTTGTCCAGGTTGTTCTCAAACTCACAGGCTGAAACAATCCTCCCTTCTGAGCCTTCCAAGTAGCTGGGACCACAGGCTTAGGCCACCATGCTCAGCTATGAATGAATTTTTAAATAATGAAAGCCTTTCAATTTGGGAGCCTGTTCTAGCTCTTATTTCCTGAAAAATGGAATGCTACTAATCTGCCTACATTTCTATAAAGGAAGTCTGCAAAGCAAACTAACCATTTGGTGCAGCACGTTTTCTATTTCTTACCAAGTCTCGTTGATCTTCCTGTACCAAATCCATTTTGTGTACCAAACAAAAGATTTTGGCATCTGGAGAATTCTGCAGAATGGCTTCAAGGCATGACTGATAATAGTGCATGTCCTTCTCAAGTTCTCGGCTCTCCACATCAAAGACATAAATCAGAACCTCCACATTTCGGAAGATGTTATCACGTTGGCTAGTGAAATAATTTTCCATAAAGGTGTCTTGTCTGATAGGAAAAGAAAATCTAGATGGTCAACAGATACTCAGTTCAATCAGTCCTGCTTGAAATTTTGTTAGCTTGATCACGGGAAAGATAGCCTCAAGACAATTTAAAGAGTCAATAGTAATTAAGTTGAGCACTACCTTACTTTACTTTTTGAGTAATGCTGTGTAATACTCTACTTTTTTCCTTGTTTCAAACACTTATCTTCTGTCCACTCTTTAAGTGGCTAATTAATGGTTTAACCCATGGGGTTTTACACATATTGTTCATCTTTCACATGCTACTTTTCTATCTCTTCATCTAACTCACTCCACCTTGTTCTTTAGATTTCAATCCAATCCATATACTCACAATGGACTAATTCACTAACTGTAGCTTCTTTACAAATACATTTTTCTCATTTCCAACACTTACCACAAGAATGAAATATGATGTTTTAAATTAATAGTGTTTAAGTCTCTATGCAACAAGACAAGGTTCATTCCTGGTACTGTTCATTTGTCTCTCAGATTTAAAAAATAAAATGGTAGATGCTTAATGAAGACTTCTTGAATAACTTGACAGTTAAATATTTGAAATTATACTAAAATGATTCCAATGATAACTTTTCAGAATGTTATTCTTTGCTCCTAGGCTAGGTGCCACTTCCCAAGATCTCAACAGCTAGTCATCAGCAAACAGTAGTGTCATGTTGTGGGGGGAGCTACAAACTTCTAATCCTGCATCATCTTGTTAAGAGCAGTATAACTTTGGAAGAATCTCGTTTCCCTGAATCACAGCTGCCTTATCTACAAGACTATATTTTAAAACCTACAAGCAAGGAACCTGGATTAATCTGTTGACACAGATTAGAGGATTTGAAGCAATTATGATGAAAGATTTATATGCCAGGGTGTTAATTAATCTAACTGCTCCAAGAAAGAATCATTTTCTTGGAATATTTGATTGTTACATTATTCTTCTACAAATATTCACTGAGAAACTTGTATGTTTGGAGCTGGAAAATACCCACCTGACAATAATATCTATTGATCTTGTGAGATACTACAGTATGTGTTTTTTATATATTACCTTGATTAATCAACATAATAACCCTATTAGTTGGTTACCTGTTGTACAGATGAAGATATGGCTCAGGAGGTTTGAATGATCTACCCAAGATAAAACTATAGTCCTAATCACTCTGCACTCTCAGTACACTGCTGCTTCCGCATAGAGATGCAAATGGCCTTAAGGCCAGGAGCAACATCAGCACAAAAGCAGCTGAGTTTGCATTCGTGCTCGGATATTTGATGACTACCTTGTTCATGAAAAGAAGAGATATCTCCTACTCTTCCAACAGTTGGTAACTTGACCAAATAATACATGCTTAGAGTCCAATCTATAGTGGCAAGGCTGCCTGATAATAATTACTAAAATAAGAACAAAACGGAATGGTATGATAGCTAAGAGCTCAGCACTGGTGTCAATACCCCCCGAGAAAGAAACCCAATTTATGTCCCCGCAAAAGAGATGATCAATCTTGTGCTACACATACTGCAATAGAGCTTATATTGGAGATCTTAAACATGTTATGTGCAAGAGCTGGAGAGATGGCTCAGTGGTTAAGAGCACTGGCTGCTCTTGCAGAGGACCCGGGTTCAATTCCCAGCACCCACACAGAGGCTAACAACCATCTGTGACTCCAGCTCCAGGGAATCCAATGCCTTCTTCTGACCTCCACAAGCACTGCACAACAATGGTGCACTTACATTCATGCAGGCAATATATTCATACACATAAAATTAAAAAAAATAGTAAAAAAAAACATGTTATACGTAGAGTGCATTTTCAAAGTCACATAAAACCCAGAGATCTTTATTTAATCAACTGACAATTCTGAAGTGATTCTATTTAATGTATCTATTACAATGAGTTACTCTAGGTGTATATGCCATGCTGATTATACTAGATGACATCACCACTGCCACCAGCTTCACAAACAAGTATGCACATAGTACTTACCCACCACAATCCCACAAGTTCAAAACCAGGTTTCCCAGAAATCGAACATGAGAATGCTCTACATCAACTGGAAGATAAATATAACAGATCTAGTAATTGTAGTAAGGAAGGTGAAATTTAAAATAAGCGAATCACTAACCCATGGGTTTTAGAAGGACCAAAGTGGAGTGAAATGCTCAAAGCGATAAGAAGAAGGTGATTTTCAGTTTAGTCATGTGGTTTAGTGGCAAGGTGGGCACCTAAACTATCCTAAGCTAAGGAATTGGCTCTTGTGTAAGTCATTTTAAATTTCAGGAGTTTAGTACTCACAGCAGAAACAAGCTCCAATTATAATACCAATGTTAAAATTTTAACGTGTAAGACAGTGACATACACCATTTAATTGATCTTCTCAACCCCACCTTCTCCTACCAACTTCACCACAAAAATAAAAAAACAAAAAACAAACATAAAATAAACATAAAACATAACTCCTGTATTGACCTTCCCTTCTATTTACAACTTTATTAGTTTTTCCATTTTTGATTCTTTCACTTCTAGTTCTTTCTAATATCTCTTAATTCCATTCTTTATTTTATAACTCCCCACCCAACATTAAAGAAGGTACTTATCTCAGGCCTATAAAATCTCCATAATTGACCTCCTCACCAGAAAGCCTTATCTACTTTACATCACCCTATAGGCTATTGCAAGGTTCATCTTCTTAACACTACTTTGAACATATCACTCCCCATTCAAAACATAATGGCACCTCCATGTTTAATGGGAGTGCATTTAAGGTCCTTCACAATTTGGCTTCCAATCTACCCTTATAATCCCCAGTAATTCATATTCATAAATCCTTTCACTCCAGCCTCCCAAATCCTACTACCTCCCAGTCTCCAACATATTTTACATTCAGGGGTCGCAAACTTGCTAATACAGGCCAGGTCTGCAAACCTACACCATCAAAGTTGACTACATATGAGGGTAAACATCTACCCAATGGGTCATAAAGGTGATAGCAGTTACTTAGCTCTTATTCATTTGCCATTCAAGAATATTGGATCAGGTTACCAGATTTTTAAATTTTCATAGTAGCTTGAATTAGATTTTTATGTAAAATATAAGGTAACTTATATAAGGTAACTACTTCCAATTTTTCTAAAACACTGTACAAGTCAAATAAAACATATCAAAAGGCCTTACCAGCACATAGGCTGTCTGTTTGCGACCTCTGCTTTATATTTCCTTCCCATTATCTATTGCATATTCTATCTTTTTGCTGCAAAGACCCCCACCATTTTCCTTTCAAAGTTACTCCTAAGACTCATACTAAATCCCATCTCTTCTAAAAGCCCTCCCTGCCTAACACACCCAACTTACCATCATCTGTCCCTCTGAACTCATTCAAACATTTATTAAGCAACTACTCTCTGCCAGGCACTATAAACTTCAAGAAGGAATAATGGAAGATATTATAGTGAAAATTTCTCAATGTTAGTAATTAAAATCTACATAATTTATGTTATAGTCAACTCAATGGCCTCTGTGTCTACCTCAAAGCTGTTGCTTAAAGTCTATCCAACTTTTGTACAATTTCATCTTCTCATAATCTAGATTGTAGACACAAGTCATTCATGATAAAATAAGTCATATAGATTGTAGACTATATATCGTCTCTAATTCTGTGTGACTTTGGGGAAGCCACTTGACCTCTTAGGATTAGCTTCCAGTTCCATTAAGTAGAAGGAAGGGGCATAGTATTGATCTCACAGGATTACTATGAGGAGTCAACAAGCACTATATATATATAAAACAGAAAGTGCCTGGCACATAGTAGGTGCTCAATCTACTTCCCTTGTCCCCTTTACTTCCCCCTCTTTGGAAAAGGAATCATATCTTACATGTCTTTGTATTTCCAACAGAGTCTACGAGAGAGTAGGTGCTCAAACTGCTATTAATTTGAAGACTATGTATACGGTCTAGTACTAAAAAAAAAAATGGAAAGAAGTGCTACTGAGAAAAGGAAAGGCAATAATAAAAGTGACAGGATTCAGTGACTTTTTAGATATAGGGCATATGGGACAGAAATCTAGTTTCTACTCCAATATCACAGGACTAAGTCTCATTCAGTAATCAATGGTCCATTAGCAAATCCAGTGGACTTTTTTTAGTCCTTGTCTTACTTTCTGCAGCATGACACTGTTGACTACTCTTCTCAAAAAACATTCTCTTCTCTTGGTCTCTGGTATCATACCTACAAACTCTGAGGAAGATTGTCCCTCACAGGCTCCTATTCTTCTTTCTGTCCCTTAAATGTTAGAATTCTTGAGGACTCCAGCCTTGGTTACTTTCTCATCTAAATAATTTCCCCAAGGCAAGATAATATTCATAACACTTCATTTACCACCTGGATACTGCCTCATAAATAGGTAACACTAGTACAGATTTCTATCCTATCTTTTTGACTCATATACTTTATATCTGTAAAGGAATAAAAGAGAACAATCCCAAACTCATATCCAAATATAACCCATCTCCCCTTCAATCCCACAAAATCTATTCCTTTTTCAGTTTTCTCCATCTCAGTTAATTTAACTAGTGCCTAAGCCAAAACTTGTTTCATTCTTTATTCTTCTCTTTCTCTCACTATTCTCCCCAAGTTTCCCAGCAAGTTCTGTTGACTCTACTACTTTCCTTAACATATGCCAAATCCAGGAGCTTCTCGCCGCATCTACTACCCTACCCTAAGCCAAATTAAACTCCTGTCATCTCTTACCAGGCCCACTAAAATAATTTATTGAAAAATAAACAGAAATTTATTTCTCACAGCTCCAAAAGCATGGAAAGTCTAAGATCATGTTACCAGCAGAGTGGGTATCTAGTGAGGTCCAGCTCTCTGGTTCTGAGGACACCTGTTTCTAGCCTTACCTCACTCCAATCTGGACCCTTTATTACAGATATAATGATGTGTCCAAAATGCTGAGTCTAATACCATTCTTTAAAAAGAACTTGCCTCTCTATGTATGCATAATTGTATGCCCCAAGAAGAATGGTAACCTCAGAACTACTAATGGTGGCTGTCCTTAGGAAGTCGGCCTGACAATGAATGACAGAATACTCTTTATATATTTATGTAATGTTTGACTTTTCCCACAATATTACTTTTGAATTAAAATTGAAAATACTAAATATAACTGTGACCCTGTTACTTTCCTGTTTAAAGCTTTCTAATAGATTGACTACCAATCTAAATCCTGCTTCCTGTTCCCCTGTTAACTTTCATGTTTCCTATTATGTTCTTATAGTTCTCTTGATCTTCCTATTCTGTTATTATCAGAGTAATTGAAAAGAATGAAGAAAAGAACTTCTGGCTAATCACATACACTTATGGGGCAGAAAGAAGAAAATACTGTAAGATTATCTTTTTAAAAAATCAGGAAGATTACCTTTTTTTTAAAAAAAAAGCAGGGAGGGATGTTTAAAGATAAAGGGAAGAAAATCAGGGTAATAAAGCATTAAATAAAAAAGCCAAGAGAACAGGGAATTTTGAGAAAGTAGGACTAAAATACTTTGTCATTTTAATGAAAAATTTACCATTCTAACAAACACACTTTAACACCTACCTAATAAATTAACATCATAGTTTCTTCCTTACTTCTAAGTTCAAAACATAGGTGGTTTCAAGTTTATTAAAAAAAAACTGGACTTTTTGAAGGAATGAAAATCTAGGAAAACACTAATATAGTAAAGTCAAAGAAAACCAGTAGCTGCATAAAAAGGAGTATCAAATAAAAAGCAACATACTACATGTATTTTCAACTAGTCTACATATTTATCAATAAAACAGACCTTTCTTCATCAATGACAAACCAGTTAATGATGGTATGCTAAATCATTAAAGCCAATATAATATTTTAAATTACATTTCTGCTACCTTTAAGGAGATTCAGCAACTACTAGTAAAGTATAACTAATCGAATTCCCATTTGAAATATACTTAAAGGCAAGAGCCCTGTCCCATTGACTGTGTTTGACAAACAGAAAGCTCCAGAAAATACTTGTTGAATCAACGGCCTATTTTAATGAATAGTACATATAATTTTCAATACTATGTTCATAATGATGCTGCTAGGTTATGCCAAAACTATTTTAATCAGTTTGAATAATTCTGAAATCTTTGTTGTGAAACTATTCATTGGATTCAGGGTAAAAAACCAACTCAGATGATCAGCTGAAAATGCAACTATCACTGGTAATATTAAGAGATGTTTCAACAAAGTGTGTAGACTTTAAAACATAAAGAAAACGTCTCCCAGGAATTGATGACTGTAATCTAGATAGGTTGTTCCATAATAAACAGAAGAACATGGATTGATACTCCAGCTCTGATGCTTATAGTTGAGTGCAATTAATTTCTAAGCTATACTTTCATCATCTATTACAGTAAAGCTAACAATGAAACTAAATGAAAGAATGCATGTAAGCCTCGAAAATAACAGTAGTTCAATAAGGATTAGCATCTCTAATCTCCCAAAACTACACATACACTAGACCTAGATATTTAACCTAGCAGAGAAAAAAAAATTAAATTTATCAAATCAAGACAGGCGTTTGGACAGGTAGACTTTTCCTGAGGCTAGATGCCAATTCTATAAGCATGATAAGCCATAGTAGAAATTATCTGGATCAAAATTTTTGCCAATTGATTTTGATAAAAATTAGATGATATACTTAGCAAATATACAAGGTATCTATAACTTATGAAGGATAGCTAAACTATCAGGTGAGAGATTAGTTAAAATGAAAATGACTCTAACGCTTTTTCCGTGCACAAGAAAACTTCAACTCACAGAGACAGTGGCTTGGATTCCATAACTAAAAAATGCTAATAATTTAATAAAGATTCATTGTTAAGTTCAAAATATTAACTGTACAAGAGCCAGAGGATGTATTTTTTAATTAAAAAAATATATATGTGAAGAAGAACTGGGGCTTTTCGTATAACTATACAAAATAAAGGTTGCTCTAAAATAAGAAGGTGGGGTTAATCATGCTAACAGCAATGCAATGACCTGAATAAAGGATGCAACAGGCCTACTTTGCCCTGATCAGACCATATATGTTCAAGTCTTGTAAGAAAAATGTAAACAACTTTGAGCAAGTCCTTAAAAAACAATTTAAAATCATGTCAAACGAGGAACTGGAGATGTTTAACTTATGGAAAACAGATTTGGGAGGCAGGGAATGAGCAGGATAAACTGAGAGACATTGAGCACTCTCAAATATTTGCAGATGCTTAGGGAACAGAAAGAGGACCATAACAGAAACAAAGCAAAGTAGACTTGGGGCCCTACCTAGGAAAAAGCATTCTCAACATTAAAGCTGCCCTCATTATGTAAGTCTATACTACACTCCAAGCCCCCAAACAGAAATAAGGTGTTCTTTGTATTCTAGGTGTATGGAGCAAAAAGTGTTTAAAGGATGCTTATTATCCTTGAATTCAGAGCAGGGCATGTTAAAGAACACTGGTGACCGGTCCCTAAAAGTACTGTATATGCTAAAACCCCAGATCAAGAATCTTTGAAGGCCAGGTAGAACAATGCCTCCTTTAAGTCAAGAACAAAGGCAGAATCCAGAAATGCTTAGATGCTACAGAATGAAATAATAATCTACTTCAGACAGATTTATTTCCGATGAGTTAAGAGCACTCCCAGGATCTGAGATTCACTGTTCTGGCCACCATAGCAGCTCACAGAGTCTACACTAACAATCGAGCCATTCCCAAGTCAGAGTAGATGCTCCAAAGAGAAGATCTAAGTGTATAGAAGAGAAAACAGCAGAGGGCAGATCAGGTTAACCTCTCTCCTTACTGTTCCTAAATTTACTTTTCAGTAAAGACAAGGACTAACTCCTGTTCTTAAAAATCTTAGGTTTTATTGTATTTTAGTTAATACTGATGATTTCCCTTTGTGTACTTAACAGTTATATACAGGCATTCTCCCCACAAAACAAAAAAAGCAAAAGGGACCCTATGCTTGCTTAAGAAATAGCAGGATACACAAGAAGTTGGTTAACAGCATCATACTTTGTAAGCAACCTAGAAAGGAAAGCGGCACCCCCAAGACAGTGAGCAGTAATAATCAGAATTAGGCCATACCATTCCGAAGAAAAATGCAAAAAGGGGAAGCATGCTCCAAAACAAATTCTTCAACCTTTCCATCCCCAAGCTACTGCAATCAAGTGTGTTATGCAGATTATTAATAGTTAAGGTCACCTCACTTTACAAGATGAAACATCTTACTTGTTGCACCAAGGCGACGTGTGTCTCTGGCAATATAATTTGCAAAGATAATAGACCTCATGCTGGTCTTACCAGACCCACTTTTACCCATCAATAGCACCTAAGGACAAAGTAGGAAAAAAAAGAAAAAAGTTAAGAATCTAGAGCAACTCTAGTATAAAGGGACCTATTTCTCTCCTATATTTGTCATTTTACAGAAGTGAAAAAGTACCAACAAGTATAAACACTTGCAATTAATTAAACAATGGTGATTAACATTACAGGAGCTAGGCACGTACCTACTACAAGTCACATATCATTTTGGCAATGCAACTGCAGTGAATTTATTATATGTAGTATTAATTTATATAGAACTACGATAGAAAAAATCATCTTAAAAAGGAAACATCCTAGCCTCATCATCTAAGGTTTTATACACTGAACAATCTAGCAGATTTCAGTATAACTGAAAAAGTTCTTCCTTCTTCACGGTCAACTTTCCTACTCCAGCCCTTGACTTTATCCCCTCCACTTTCTTCTGTTTCATTAGTTATTGTTTCTCCTTTTTCATTTTAAGCTCACCATGGCCTACAGAATTGAGTACTTAAAAGTACATATATGATTCTTGATCGAGTTCACCTACTTCTGTCTTTATTTCCTGCCTCTCCTTGCCTGGAATGTTTAGCATCCGGCCACATTTAACTGAATGGCTTGTCTCTTTGCTTCTAGCCCTCTAGGGAGTCCTGTCTCTATGTTTGTATTTCATGTTGTATTCTCTACCATTCATTCTCTTTTCTTCTTTTAGCTAAGTCCACTTACCCTTCTGAACTTGGTTCAATAATAATCTCCTCAGAAATTTTCTCCGGGGCTGGGAATGTAGCTCAGAGGCACAGCAGTTGCCTAAAACATGTGCAACCCTGAGTTCAACCCTTAGGTTCACCACCCCCAACCCACAAAAGTATCTCTGACCCATTACTTTAGGCTGACTAAGGTGTCTTGCCTGTCTCCCAATGGTACTGCTATATGAATGTAGACCATAATGTACTCATTTGGGGAACTGTCTCTCATAAAACTCCAAGCTCTGAAGGGGCAGAGAGTCCCTTTGTATCTCCAGTGTCCAACATATAATAAATGTTCTAAATATGCTCATCAAAAAAGTGAAAAAGCTGTTAAAACAAAAATGCAAAGCAAGAGAGCTTTTATCAGTGACAACTATCTGGTTGAAACTGAGACCTTATAAATGCAAACATCTTTCTTGTCAGTGTTAGCATCTGACACAGACTAACAACTGTCAAAGATTCTATATATTCTTTCACTAGAAGGAAATGGGAGTAAAATGACCTTCAAGAGTCCTTTTAAGCACAAAATTTATGAAATACACTTCCGATTACTACTTTTCAAATGAAAGGGATACCTTGTCTACCCTCAATCCAATATATTTTACTAAAATGTCTGATTATGTGTATTAATGAAAACATACTAGATTCAGGCTTGATTCAATTCATATATACATATATATGTATATATGTATAGCTATATCTTCACTTCAGTAAGAAAATGTCACTGCTGAGCCAGTCTCAAATCAAAATGAAATTTTTTGCCCTTTTCAAAAATTTTAATTGAAAACAATAATTATATTTCTGGGGTACAAATCGATTCTCCGATACATGTACATTGTAGAATAATTACAGCAAGTTACTTTCTGCTTTTCTTCTCTTTTCACAGTTCTTTAAATTTTTCATTGTATCCAAGTTTTGCTCCTAATTGTTTTCTTTTAGTGAAAAGGTCTGACCTCAGCTGCTTATGAAAAGACAAGGACAATCATGTTAGGTACTAATCTAAGCGCTCATTTAAACTTCCTAACAACTCTATGAGATGGCTAATATTATCAGCATTTTACAAATGACAATGAATCCCAAAACGGTCAAGAAATTTGCTCCAAAGCTGCACTCTTTGATTCTGCTCAAGTACCAAGGTGGGGCACAGAACCATAAGAACACAAAGTAAAGAACATCCAATTTCAGCTAGAAAAATGCATGTAACATTTGATTTGGGTTAAAAAATAAACGTGCACACAGAGGGTTTTGTAGTATTTGCATATAGCTTGACCTAGATTTACATTAGAAAATGTAATCCCAGATAGACCACATAATCCAGAAAGACTTATTTCCTCAATGGTAACTTCTTACCTTCACCTTCATGTTTCTGATGTACCTAATACATCTTACCTTTTTCTTCATGGCTGTATTTGGTATCACCCACCTGCAGATATAAACCAAAAGACAGAGCTTCCATGATCTAATTGCCTTAGAAATTAAAAAGTAAATGTGGAGGTACAGAAAAACACTAAGACAACCGCAAGAGTAGACGCCTTCATTTTCCCAAATTATAAAAAACTCAGTTCATGTTCCCTGTTTACTTTGCAAGCTCAAGGAGACAGATCCTATAAACAAGCTGTTAAATTCAATATTTGATTGTCATCTTAAAAAATTAAAGGATCATTATGGGGTACTTTGATAATCAAATAACATTTTCACATTTGAATACTGACTTTTTAAAAAATGCAGTTCCTTATTTTTAAAACCTGGACGCTTCTTTGGCCCTTCAACTGTCCTTCCAAGTCATATTTCATTCATTAAAGGCACAAAATACTCAGGTCCCAAACTGGCAGATTGCACTATATGTCACTAGCCAGCAAATGACTGTTCTTCCTCTCTTTTTACCCTCAACATGGTCATATCAACCTGTATAGAAAATGTAAAAAGAACTGAGAACTGCCTCTATTCGAATTATGAACCTCAGCCCAAGGGCTCTTTCTGTTCAGCTAGCACCAGCCCCCTTTTCAGGGTGGTCTGTCATCAAGAACATGATACCACTCAACCATGCTAAGAAGCTATTTCTCACTAGAGGTTCGGAGTTGCATTTTACAGTACTCTCTTCAATTTACAGCCCTTCCAGATACAAAAAAAAAAAAACGTTCACCCACCCAAGCGATCCTTCCGGTTCCCCTAGTGGAGGCTCCATTCTCGGACCAAGATTCTCTTTTTCCGTCTTTTTCTCAGGATCAGATTCTTCCATCGTGCAACAAGTCGCTTGCAATGCCTTCTAATTTCGCAGTACTCTTCTTGTTCACCACCTCAACTGCCTAGTCTCACCGCCTGCAACCCTTGGGCCTGCTCGATTCTTGCCTCCGCCTTTGTCCACTTGGGGGCCGTTTTCCTCAGTTACCTTTACTGCCCCAAACTAGGTCTGAAGATATGGCTGAGCAGACCACCTCAAAGGCCAAGAGATTCGGTGGTGTAAAAGAAGAGACGGAGGAAAGGAAGCGCGAGGCGGATTGGGAGTTCGTCCAGAGTTTGGGCCTCACTCTCCAAGGTCTCGAATCACAAAGGTAAGTTGGCCGGCACTGAGGTGCGGGAGGCCGCGGCGGAGGTAACGCAAAGGGCCGACCGGAGCTTCAGGCAAAAAGCAGTTAACGCCTGATGGCGGCTCCCGACTCGGCCACCAGTCAGAGTCCGCCAGAGGCCGCGGTGGCTTCCCTGCCCGTCCGTCCGCCCGTCCACCCGCCCGCCCTTCAGGACCACAGGTACCTCACAGCAGCCACGCTACTGCAGGCCACGATCACGTGGTAACCTGCGGGAGGCCAAAGCCTGTCACGTAACCGCCGCTACCCAAGGGGTTGCTGGGAAGAATATCATAGAGACTGCTTTAGGGAAGCCAGAGTGCCCCCACGTCGCCTTCACGTGGCTTAGATTCTCGCGCCACAGGCCCTGGGGCGGCCCGCAGGAGCAGTGCAAGTGACTGGCCTGCTCCCGCCCACCCGTTGCTTACTTTTAAAGGGATAGGTTGTAATTTCTGTGCCCACAAGGTGTTTTCATTGCTGCTTATCCTTAGGGTTGTGCACGGGAAAGGCTAGTGTGGTTCCTCTTCTGCTGTTTGTTAGTTTTTATGGCGGTTATCATAATTTATTTTTATTATTTGTAATTATGCGCATGTATAAGTGTGCGTGTGGAGGGGGTTTATGTACGTATGATGCCCCCTGAGGCCAGAGGCAATGGATATGCTTGGAGGCAAAATGGGCCTTCCCATGTGGGTGTTGAGAACCGAACTCTGGACCTCTCCAAGACCGGTACACTTAACCGCTTGCCATCTCTCCAGTTACCATAATTAAAAGAATACATCTATTAAAAGTGCTTTAAACTGTCTCTCACATAGAAAGCGCTCAATAAGTTATTAATTGCTGATACCGGAGGCACATGCAGGCTTTTCTACATTAACCTCTACACTTAAAAGAAACTGCAATTGTGGCTGGAGAGATGGCTCAGCAGTTAAGAGCACTGGCTGCTCTTGCAGAGGACCCCATTTCGAATCCCCTCACCCACATCACTGCTAACCACCTGCAATTCTAATTCCAGGGGATCTGACGTCCTCGTCTGACTGCCATGGGTATTGCATGACACGTGTGCACCTACACACATGCAGGCAATACACTTACACATAAAATAAAAGGAATAAAAAATTTTAAATATATTATTTATTTTTATTTTAGGTGTATGTGCGTATTGCCTGCCTGTAGGTAAGTGCACCCGTGTCGTGCAATGCCTGCGGAGGACAGAAGAGGCTGTGGAATCCCCTGGAACTGGAGTTAGGACAGTTGTTAGCTGCCATGTGGGTGCTGGGATTCGAACCCAGGTCTTCTGCAAGAACAACCAATGTTCTTAACCGCTTAGCCATCTCTCCAGCCCCTGGAATAAAAATTTTTTAGTGCAATTGTATTTTATAATTTTTGGATCAACGTTTAAGATGTACACATACAGAGTTTAGTATGAAAAATAAGTTCTCATAAGAATATATTCCCACGGCAGGAGAGATGGCTCAGTGGTTAAGAGCACTGGCTGCTCTTGCAGAGGACTTCAGTCTGATTCCCAGCACCTATATGGCAGCTAACAAATTGTAACTCCAGTTCCAGGGGATCTGACACCCTCTTCTGACCTCTGCAGGCATTGCATGACATGGGTGCACTTACATGCAGTCTCATACACATAAAAATGAAATTTTTTAACTTCTCATAAGAAGTTAATGAAATATAAAACTCATAACAGACTATGCTTTTATATTTGGATCTAGAGATTGCCAGAAAAAAAAAACACCACAAAATAATTCAAAAGAATTTCTTTTGAGGTGGCAAATGGTAGGAAGAAATAGAAAGGAATTGTTATTTTTCATTTTAAGCCCTATCTATTATATTCATGTATATAACATGCATTATATTAAACCATACGCATATATTACTTTGCTAAGAAAAAGCAGCAATGGTATTGTCAGCTTCCACATGTCCCAGATGAGGTCCTATATGAGTCCTCCTCTCCACAAGGTCCGTTCCTCAAGAAAAAAATCTATTCTGATAACCCTGCCACTAGCAAACTGGCATAGACATGAATCAATCTATGGAAATTAGTGTTGGTTCACGTACATGAGGAACTTCCCAGCTGTTGTATTACCAATTTTTCAGCCTTAAAGACATTTTCTGAAAATGAAAATGAGGCTTATAGAAATTGGCTAATAGTTAACCAGTTGAGGAATAAGAGGAAGAACAGCATAAGGAAACATGAAGGTTATGTGATGGTTAATCCTGGGTGTCAACTTGACTGGATCTGGGATTAACTGAAATGAGAAAGATCTCCTTAATTGGATCATCTGAAGCTGGAAGACACACCCTAAATGTGGGTGTTACCTTCTGATGGCAGCCGGTCTAAAAGGCCAAGGCAGAGGAGAATGCCAGGCTTCTTGCTGCTTGCCTTCTCTCTCGCTGGTGAGTTCGTCTTGCTGCTGTAGACTGAAGACTAGCTGATCTTTTGGAATTTGTCAGACCTTCAGGGCCAGATTGGGACTACTGAGACATCCAGCCTTGTGGACTGAGCGACTGTGGAGTCTAAGCCTCTCCAGTGTGATGCAGCCATTGTTGGACTACTCAGACTCTATCCCGTGAGCTAAACTGATAAATCTCTATACATATATATTCATTCTGCTGGTTCTGTTTCTTTGGAGAACCTTGACTAATACAGGTTGGAAACAGGAAATTATTATGGCGCTCATCTATGTGTGCATTTTCCTCCAGAGATTATCAATAACTGAAGTGTAGATGCATATAAGACAGAAGTAGATACGTTCTCTCATCCTAACAAGGCTTTTGAAGGATAAGTGGAACAAAAGAATAAGGATAAGGAGGCAGGGAGGTTACAAATACTCGTCTTCATATATTCAGTGGATTCTGGTCTGCATGAGGAAGAATATAACTATTTCACAGGTTTGTTTTTTTAAAAAGCCCAAAGGACTGAACATCACAAGGAAGTAGGAAAAGAACTAAATTGAGTCTGTTTTTAGTGAAGTGGTTTGAGTAACAAGAAGTCTAATAAATGTGATATTAAGAGTTTAATATGTAGGAGCTATTTTGGCTGCCCAGGTCTTGGTTCTGCAAACAACAGCAGGTGTTAGACAAACTATTTAACAGCTCCAAACCTCAGTTTTCTAAGTTTCTGCCATAAAACCTATTTAATAATAACTTTCTCAGTTGTTTTAAGGATTAGAATAGATCATGAAAGGAAACTGTCACAAAGTAGCTTGTCTCTAACTGGCACTCAATAAATAATACCTTAAAACTTTATAGTCCTCTACCCTTATTTTGTATTTTATTTTTCTTTAAAAGGGAAGAAATGGAAAAAGAACTTCCATACAAATAGAAACAGTAGTGGCTATGCTTACATCTGATGAACTAGACTTTAAATCTGTACTATAGAATGAGACCAAAAGGTCATTAGATCATAATAGAGGCATCAACTCCTGAATAGTATTTAACAATTGTAAGTGCATATTCACCCAACATAAAATTACCCAAATACACAAACAAACCTTCAGTACCAGACTTTACAAAAAGAACAGATCATCCAGACAAAATTAACAAGGAATCATAGGACTTGAAATACACTTTATACAAAATGGACTTGATAGACATATCTGGAGAATTCCACATAAAGTAGCACAAAAAAACATCTTTCTCAATTCCGCATAGCTCCAGAATAGAGCTATGTTATGTCACAAAAATGTAAGAAATATTGAGATTTAAATTGTATTAAATTTCTTTTTGGACCACTATGATCAGACACTAGAAATCATTAAAGGAGGAAATTTGTAAAATCCATTAATATGTGGAAATTAAACAATGCAATCATAAGCAGCCAGTAGATAAAGAAGAAATTACAGGAGAAAAAGAAAATGTAAAAAGCAGTTCTAAGGGTAATTTTTATAGTAATATAAGTGTCTACATTAAAAAAAAGAAAATAGAGCCAGACTTGCTGGCACATGCCTTTAATCCCAGCACTCAGGAGGCAGTGACAGGCCTTTGTGAGTTTGAAGCCAGCCTACCCTACATAGGGAGTTCCAAGCTAGCAAGAGTTAACATAATGCGAGCCTTTCTCAAAGAACAATTAAAATGCACATGCCCAAATAGTCAAAGCTAGCATCCATATATAAGCTGTGACTATCTTTCTGGGTCTGGGTCACCTCAGCCAGGAGGATTGTTTCCAGTTCTATTCATTTACCTGGGGATTTCATAATTTCACTTTTCTTCAGAAATGAATATTATTTTATTGTGTAAATATATCATATTTTCATTATGCGTTCATCAGTGGATGGACATCTACGCTGTTTCCGTTTCCTGGCTATTGAGAATAGAGTAGCAGGGAACATGGATGAGCAGGTATCTCTGTAGTAGGATACAGAGCCTTTTGGGTATACCACCCAAGAGTGGTATAGCTGGATTATGTGGTAGCTCTGTTTCTAGCTTTCTGAGGAATCTTCACACTGATTTCCATAGTGGCTGCATCTGTTTGCATACCCAACAGCAGTGAACAAGTGTTTCCATTTCCCCACATCCTTACCAGCATTTGTCATTGCTAGGTTTTGGATCGCAGCCATTGTGACTAGAGTAAGATGAAATCTCAGAGTAGTTTCAATTTGCATTTCCTTGTTAGCTAAAGATGTTAACATTGAAAAAATATTTTTATTTATTCTTTGAGAATCTCATACAATGCATTAGAATCTTATTCTCATATATCCATTCCCACCTTACCCCTACCTGATTTCATGTCCTCTATTATTATTTTTTAAGGTGTAGCGAGTCTAAATTGTGTCCCCAAATGCTCTTGGGGGTGAGTCCATCTCCAGGAACCTATTCAACATACCCAGTGTTACGCCCTTAAAGAAAACTAACTCTCCCTCTTCCAGCAGCTATCAGTTGATAATAGTTCCTCAGCTAGGATTGTGGCTTCTTGGCCACCTTCCTGCATCCACCCTTGAATTTTGTGTGGCTTGAGGTCGTGTAAGTCTTGTGCATGTGGTCCCAATTACTCTCAATTCATATGAGTAACTTTCCTGCTGTTTGGAAAGCAGTTTCTTTATACCCCCTCTTCCATGTTGATCCCTGAGCCTTGAGAGGAGGTGTGATATATGTGTTCCATTTAAGGCTTAGAACTCTGTAGTCTCTTATTCTCTGAATATTGACCAGTTGTAGGTCTCTGTGTTAATCACCATCTGCTGAATGAGGAAGCATCCCTGGTGAGAGCTGAAAGATTCACTATCCTG